ATTTCGACAAAAGGCGCATGTTAATTCATTTCTTCAGCCTAAACAAACAGAGCTCATCGGATGTCGTCATTTGGAAATACCCCAGATGGTTTTAGCTTAATACTAAAAACAGTATCCATGCAGTGAAAGCATTTTCGGATTTCGGCTTGCGTCGATAATACGATTACTACTCCCTTGTTGTCATCCACGTTTTCTCGTATAACCCTACACTTGTGTATTTGTCGTCATTCACTTGATGCTCAATTAATGAATTTATTACAGGTACAATTAGTGGTAGCACCACTTATATTACCTGACAAAGGTTCCCATTTGGCATTTATTGTGTCTGGGGTAATTATTCAATCTAAATCCAGGTTTGAAGTGAGGTGAAATGTGTGTTATGTAATATGCACGTGGCAGCCCAGCAAGAGATGAATGATCACTTGATTTACTTTTTTTGTAAATCAACGGATCGTTCCTAGTCATCAAAGGATTAACAGAAAATACGTTGATTGATTAATCACTGTTATCTTGCACAGTGGATATGTCAAGAGTGAGTGTTTACATGTCTAGGTTTACTAAAACAAAGGGAACACACTCATATCATGGCGCGAAGTGCCGATGTAAAAACAACATACTTTGTTCAAAGGGTTAACTGATAATACGTTGATTGATTGATCATTGTTATCTATCACTCAATGGATTTTTTAGGAACCGTGGACGCTATGAAAATAGTTGTCACGTGGGCTTTCTCAGCCGACCATTGAGACTTGACACCTATGTAAAACACCTGAAACAATCCAAGCGATCAGTTGAGAAACGAACACGGGTTATAATATCCCGAAACGATATATATCTTTTAAAATATTTTATTGTTACTGAGACACGTGACATCGAATAAGTTTCTTTGTACAGCTGCAGACGAGTGGGATATTGTTCCTTTGTGTGGATATTCACGGATACATTCCTCGAACAAGGAAGCTGCCTAAAACTTATACACATAAATTTGGTAGGTTGTAATTATGATATTTGCATTTTGTTTTCCTTCATTTGAACCGATTCGTTCTTGTTTCTCTACGTCTTGGTTGGGAAATTCTTCAATGCGCGATAGACGTTGTTGTCACAGGTCTTTTCCTTTGTAAGCGTGTATATATTACCGTCAACTTGTAAAATGTGATTCTCTCAGGCAATTTATAAAATGTGTAAATATTTCAGTTATTTTGACTAAAAAATCTGTCCAGATTGATCAAGACGATCAAAAAGGCCTACAAACATCACAACAGATTATTATGTAGGATTAAAAGCCAAACAACTTAGAAATGTACTTTTCAACGTTACATTTTCAGTCTCTTGGTGATGACATTAAACATCAAAATGTTTGGAATTCGTTGTCATAATAATACAGATGGAAACGTTTTTCAGTCACTTTGTAAAATAACTGAATATTTAGACGTTTAATAAATTTGTTACACATTTGACAGTAAAAAAATATGCACACTATAAAAAAAGCATATGCTCAGGTGAAATATATACTTTGTGTTGCAAGTCAAAATAGTGTAAACGAAAATCGCAAAATTACCAAGCAAGTGACTTATCAAAACTTCGTCACCATTACCGATGCTACTCACAAAGATACCTACATTTCCTTATTATCTCGAAAACTGTATTTCATTTTGTTGATCAATGTGACCATACACCCTTATTACTACCCATAAAAGTGACTAATGCGCTTACGAATGGCGCAGCAGAGGTCGCGAACTAGTCTAGATTTCTGCTATACATCCGGGTATTCACTGGGAAAAAACAATAACAAAGGCAACAACCAGTCCCGGGGAATTGCGTTAGATCAGTGCCCCTTTAACCACTAGGCTACCCGACTGCCCCATACTCTGGTTATGAAAGTAATTTGTATTTGGGTTAAGTCCAACTTGTTCCTAAGGAAACAGCAAAAGGCACCAGTTCAGCATGTGCTTGATACACATGCAAAGTTTCATAATAAAATATTAAATGGTTTCCGAGTTATGCGAGAGCCTCACATATATTTGAGTTGATGTCCAGTTTGTTGCCACGGAAATACCAAAAATATTTTTTTAGAAATACCACTACACCAACAGGCACCTGTTCAGCATGTGTTTGATACATATGCAAAGATTTCGTAATAAAATATGAACCGGTTTATCCCCTTTATGCCTGGACTCAGCCAGGGTAAAATCAAGTACCATCTTTTGGTATGATGCGGCTGAGGATTCTCACATCATAAAACAAGAAGTGAGTGACTATACATGTGACTGTTTGTCCTAATGTGCATATTCTAAACATTTCAACCAAAGCATAAATCAGTCCTAAGGGTAATAGTCACCTTGACCGAACAGCCACTATTCATGCCTCTGGCAATCATGGGATTTAAAACACCTACTGAAAATGGATTTGAGTAAGACTGCATCATACAGTTTACACATGTTGAAATCCTCAATACTGTTATATACATTATTGGAAGCAAAAGAGCATGTAGCACTCCTATTGAACTCGTAAACAGTAAGTAGAATTTCACTTTTCACTTTTTACTCCTGAAATGAGGACCAGTTATAAGATATATCTTTGATGTAGGATCGTGTCAGTGAAAGGTAACAAGCTCCCCTGTTCAGGTTGATATTTGACCGTATTTTCTTGAGTATAGTGCGCACTTTTTTTCGAAAAAACACAGCATTGTAGAAGGGGGTGCGCATTATACACGAAATTATGAGTTTGGATGGTTTTTTCCCCCATGGAAAGACATTACCGTGAGCACGAAACACCGGAAATACCATGTCAACAAATCCATACTGAAGTACGCAAAATAATCATGTAATTACACTGTCTGGCTATAAAAAGTGTTCTTTGTATATCTGGACTTATGTTTGTAACTTATTTCATTAATTTTATTCAAAATTCCTTATAATATTGTTTTTATTAATATCGGCGAAATCGTGTGTGAAGCGATCGGAAGATCGCACAACTCACCGTTATTAACAGCAACCACGGTCATTCACAGATCTCACACGGTGGGCATCTCACACCTAGGGTGTATACATGAGGACTTTGAGGACTTTGAGGACTGTGTGGGCCGTGCAGAGTTGTGCCCTTAGGCACGCCAGAAACCTGAGCGTGGATTCGAATCCTGGTTCGCCCTGATCATGTTTCTAGGTTTGTCAGCACCATACCTGTGCTTGTGGGTTTCACCAAAGTGGTAAACATCTCAGACCGGCATCACTTCAGGCTTTCCTCACACATTAAGCTGACATGTTGTGATATAACTGGAAAGCAGTGTTAATCTCAACTCACACACACGAGGAGTGTCCCCAAGGTCACAATGCGTCTAATAACCCATACATAGAGGGAGCCACTGAGATGACCTGCTCATTTACTTAGTGCCCAGTGGCAATGGTCTTATCATATCATACTGGGTGTCGGTCAGCATGGGATATTGGCTGACCCCAAACCCAACCCTTGAAATCACTCCCTTTATGACATGCCTTGGAGAAAGGCCGACCCCATAATACACACCATTCATTACTGATTACATAAGATAGCTACACGATAAATCACAAAGAACAATGAAGAACGAAGCGTGGTTTATTTCACGATGAAATATTGTTCTAACATGATGTCATTTCTTGAGATTCAAACTTGATGACATCGTTAATTGGACAACGTTATTTTGAGTGGGAGGGTCTAGTGACTTGTACCCCATAGATGTAGCTGGGCTCCGCAGATAAAGGCAGTGAACAAACGATCGCGTCCAAAGGTGAGAGAGATATAACAATTGGTATTGGAAGAAAAGGTACAGGTAATCGACGTGGGGATTGTGAGAATATGCGGGGTATACCCACCTGTGCATAAAATGTTCTTTGTCCGACATTGCCGATGTCGGATTCTATTGAGAGTCATCATTATTTAAATACGGGTACATATTTTTAAAGCTTGTACATGTTATCATCATCCTTAAAGATGTCGTACATAATGTTAATATCTCATATAAGAAATAAACAACTTGTGGTCATTGTTTGTCGTACAATACAACACTGCAGGGAGAATGAACCACTTGGGGCTGCAATACGATAAACAACTCCCACTCGTCATATATTTCTTAAATACTTCGAACAACCTGGCAATGTTTTAAATCCAAGCTACACACTTGTCTCATCCTATGATTGAAGACAATACACTGCTAATCCAGGTAATGACACTCCTAACACAGTAACAACTAGTGGTGGGATGATACACCAATGCTTCGGTCGATCACGGTTTTTTACTTCTCGATACAAGTATCGATCACAGTCGCTAAGTAAAAAGTATCGATTTTTACCTTAAATGTTTTCTTGAATAAGTGTTACACCAAACACTAATTACTAGTGAAAATGAGTAGTGAAAACATAAATATTTTCATCCATTGTGCATTTGGCAATCTGTCAATGAAAAAGATAGCTTACGCACCACAGATAAGGGCACATGCAAGTATCGTGATAGTATCAGATCTCACAGTTGGTGTATCATCCCAGCCCTAGTAACAGCAGATGTGGCTGTTTTCAATTAGCTAAAACCATTGCATATTTATGTACAAAAAGTAGCACTAACTCAAGAAACATCACTTGAAAGCCTAAAAATTCGGTAAACCTGACCTGTCTAATTTAATTACCTGGCATATCCTGCTACTCATGAATGTCTTACCTGTTGACTGGAACAAGACTGATGCCAATGTCTTACCTGTTGACTGTCACAAGACTGATGCCAATGTCTTACCTGTTGACTGCCTCAAGTTTGATACCAATGTCTTACCTGTTAACTGTGACAAGACTGACACCAATGTCTTATCTGTTGACTGTCACAAGACTGACACCAATGTCTTACCTGTTGACTGTCACAAGACTGACACTAAAGTGTAACCTGTTGATTGTACCCAGACTGACACCAATGTCTTTTTTGCTCATTGTCACAAAACCAATTCTTACCTGTATACACAGGTAAATAACACCTTGACCTACCTGAGATTTACTCTGTGCAGCCTTGGACTTATCCCACTCCTTCATGAGTTTGTCCAAGTCGTCCATCCAGCTGTTGATGCTGATCAGATCCCTATCTATTCCACTGGCAGCCTGCAGCTTCTTCAGCTTGGAGCTGAGTCTGCAGAAACAAGAGTTTTATGTCCATCACATAAACACATGAGTAATTGGGGGTCTGTGATTAGCAGAAATTTGCACTGCAATATATTGCGATACAAGTGTTCGTTCTGTAGACCCGTGAAGATCCCGGCGTAGAATAGGTCTTCAGCAACCCATGTTTGCCGTAAAAGGCGACTATGCTTGTCGAAGAAGGAGACTAACGGGATCGGGTGGTCAGGCTCGCTGACTTGGTTGAATCATGTCATCGATCCCAATTGCGTGGATCGATGCTCATGATATTAATCACTGGATTGGCTGGTCCAGACTTGATTATTTACAGACCGTCGTCATACAGCTGAAATATTGCTGAGTGCGGCGTAAAACAACGAACAAACAAACCAATCAGTTCTGTATTATGATACATATTGTTATATGATGGAAGCTACAGTGTTTGACAGTGTTTGACACTGATTGTACATACAGATCCTATTTTTTCATACAAGGGTAACTATGACTCAGAAATGTCTGTTGCCACCATTTTGTAGCCATGGAAACAGGGGAGATAACAATGTGAGAGAAAAATCACTTCCACATTCCCGCCATTTCGTCAATCAATTTCAAAGGGAATGAATTTCTGTCCAGATTTTAGGTTAAACGATACAAATAAGAATGAGGCTTGTTTTATCATTTTATTTTACAGAATATACTAGAACAGAAAAATATTGAGTGAGTGAGTGAGTTAGGTTTAATGCCGCTTTGAACAGTATTCCAAGCTTAATGTGGGAGAAGAGCCCAAAGTGGTGCAGGTCTCAGACGTTTACCACTTCGGTGAAACCCACGAGCACGGGTATGGTGCTGACAAACCTTGAAACATAATCGGGGCGAACCGGGATTCGTGCCCACAAACATAGGTTTCTGGCGTGCCCAAGGGACGCAACTCTGCACAGCGAATCGCCTGCGCCACCCGTGCTCCCAGAAAAAAATTGCAATACATATTGTTTGAAAAGCGTATAGCAGTATACCGATCAGTCTCAGTACTGGGGGGCTATTCTGACCAGGGCCCAGTTTTTACAAAGCCATCTTAGCGCTATGACTGCCATAAGCCTATGTTCCTGTATGGGAGTTTCGATCGTCTTAGCACAACGATCGCTCTGTGGTACAGGGCCCTGGAATCCCCACAGTTCTGTCATTTTAAATATATCTGCTCATACTGGAAAACACAATTGACAAATCATGTTCAAATTTAAGAGGGGACCCATGGTCCTTTATCTTTTTCTGCTGTAGTATTTGAATCTAGAATCTTTTTAACAAAAAGATTTTTTTATGAGAAGGACATCTTCCTTTCACCTATAATTATCTTACATAACTATGAGAAAACCTTGAACTATTAAATCCCTCACTTGTCCAAAATGTTCAGTTAAAGATGGGATGTCGTTATTAACATAAAACTCACTTGATTTTATCCTTTTGTTTTTCTTGTAGGTCGACACGCATGTTCTTCACTCGTGTTTGAGCCTGTGAAAAAAGAAGAAGATAAAGTTAGATGTATGCTACTTGACATTTTTTCTCAATTTATTTTGACATTTTTATTGCTATTTGTTGGTATCTAGGCTAGATGAAAAACTCATCCTTGGCTTTGGTTGAGACTGAAAAACCTCAGGCTTCAGCCTCATCCCTACTAACCAGATCCCTGCTACCATCTGCTTTTCCCAGCCAACCCAAACCTCAGACTCATGTTTTAGCCTTCAACTGTTGGACGATAGCTAATGAGTGACACAAATTGTAGATGCTAACCGCTTTGATGAACCTCGAGGAAATATGTAAGGTGCTGACATACTACCGGTAATAATTAACATGATTGGAGAGAATCTATCATTCAAATTCTAACAGCTAAGGGACATAACTCCACTATAACTATGGGTCTAAGAATTTGCTGTCATATAACTGCAACATGTGCAATGAACTATTGGGTTTCATAAAGCTAAAAAAAAAATATTCTTGGTTCTCAGGCACCGCTGCATCATCACAAAGTTTGCTGCATGTTTCGTTTTCATTTCCACTTTCCAAATATTTTAAAAATCCTTAACTATTCTGGGTCTTGAACACATGACCCCAGCAGTGAAATGCTACAATACTTAAAAACAACATGATCCAATTAGCGTGCAGTTACTTCCCTTGACATGCACACTGCTGTACTGCGCATCTCATGTTATATGTTATGGTCATGGCAGCAATAGGAGTTAGTGTGCTTGTTTTTTCCCCGTCTGCAAATTTGGTCAATGAAAACACGAAATTTACGATAAAACATCACCAGACAGGATGATTTACAAATTCAGTGTGTATTGTATGGAGGACAATGTTTCAAACACAGAGATTAAGATTACATGTGTATTTGTCCTGCAAAATAAGCCGGAAATAACAATCAGCTGTTTACACATTTTCTCCCCGATCTATTGGTGATTTAGTTTAAAAAATACTCAATGTCATGGCCAATGTCATAACTGAAAAGAAATTTCATAGGAAATGATAGGAAGACCGAAGACTTTGTATCTCTAATGACTAATGTTCGTTTCAACATGTTCAAGGCGAGTTCATGGTGAGTTGATGTGATTTGCTGATCATACACGATTTTGCCAAAATTAATGTATACAAAACTGAATGAAACCTTGGAACATAGGAGTATAATGGACTACAAACGTAAGTCCAGATACACAGTGAACACTTTTATAGCCAGATAGTGTAATAACAGGACCAACTTGCGTACTTCAGTATGGATTTGTTGACATGCTTCTTCCGGTGTTGTGTGCTCATGTTTTCGCATTGTGAAAAAAAATCAAACATCATTGAATGCGTGTATTATGCACTTACTGGTAGTTCGATGGTTGTCCAATACTGTATTCCAGTGTTTTAATCATCAAGGAATACATTTATGTAGGGAGGTCCTTTCCCAGGTTGATTGTACACAACTTTTAATCAATCCAGCAGACAGCATGACTATAAATTACATCAACCCAATGTGGATTCCAGGTTAGAGAGTACCCAGCAACCTATGCTGGTCATACAGAGGTGATGATATAGATCTGGTGGTCAGACTCAGTGACTTGCTTGATGGCTGACACCGACGGCATGGGCTCATTATGTCAGTCCCGGGATTGTCTGGTCCAAACTTGATTATTTACAGCCTGCTGTGACATAGCTGGAATATTTCTGAGTGTGGCAAACAAACAATATATCTCACCTTCTTACGCTGGTTCTGCCTTTGTTTTATCTGCTGAACTAATGATATCTGAAAAATAGAACAAAATAAACAAACGTCAGATTCACAACACTTCTCCTCTTCCCGAGGCAAGGGAGTTAACTGACTATAAAAGTCCAGTTTCCACCCTTGCCGAACTAGGCTGGTATTATGGAGTTACATTTTTGCTGGACTAACGAGTCTATGCATCGTCTATTCAAAATCATGTACCGAAATCAAAATCCGGTTAGTAAACTGTCGTGCATATTTCGGTCGATTGCAGGATTTGCAAAGCATGTGCATTGCCATCTCGTTGTCAACAGATATTTTCCAAGTCTTTTCATGTTTTTAATCAAGGTGTTCACGTGATTTGATGCACTTCGCTATGTTAGACCCGTTTTATCACAATAAAGATCTTGATTATTAATCAGATTGTCTTGACTGGGCGCCGCCATTTGGCTTGAAACAAATGCAAGTGATACGAGAGGTGGAATCTGATTGGTCCATAGGAGAGGCTTAGAAGGGACATAACTCGTAATAACCACTGATGGGGCGACAATCTAGCCCAGGAATTTCAGCCTAGTTCGGCAAGGGTGGAAACTGGACTTATAAAGTCAGTTAACTCCCTTGTCTCGGGAAATTGAACACTTGTATTTCTGGTACAAAAAGTTCTTAAGGTTTTAGTCTGGATGTACTATGGATACAAAATAATTAACCCTAACCCAATTACTTTTGAGTTTCTTGTGTACCACCGTCAACAGGTTTGTATAGGGATACACTACATTCATCCATTACTCATGAATACACAGTGAAGAAAGTGAGGAGTAATAGTGATGTTTCTCTATTTCAAGTCAGGCAGTGATGTTTCTCTAATTCAAGTCAGGCATGGACGTTTCTCTATTTCAAGACAGGCAGTGATGTTTCTCTAATTCAAGTCAGGCAGTGACGTTTCTCTATTTCAAGTGAGGCAGCGACATTTCTCTGTTTCAGGTCAGGCAGCGACGTTTCTCTGTTTCAGGTCAGGCAGCGACGTTTCTCTATTTCAGGTCAGGCAGTGACGTTTCTCTATTTCATGTCAGGCAGTGACGTTTCTCTATTTCAGGTCAGGCAGTGACGTTTCTCTATTTCATGTCAGGCAGTGACGTTTCTCTATTTCAGGTCAGGCAGCGACGTTTCTCTATTTCAGGTCAGGCAGTGACGTTTCTCTATTTCAGGTCAGGCAGTGACGTTTCTCTATTTCAAGCCAGGTAGTGATGTTTCTCTATTTCAAGTCAGATAGTGCACATAGCGCATGAGAAATATTGCCAGTTGAGTGATGTGAGGTGAGCACTCATTGCCCTGAGTACTCGCTAACTTCCTGTCACTGGAACCAGCCCATGGCTTGATTCTTTGTTTAAACACTGCAAGTACACTGCACTGTGACAGTAAGGATTCACATTCACAAGTGTATACAAACCCAGGAAGTATCAGTCAGGTGCGCTACGAACTGAACGATGAGGCAGCTACTTACAGACTTGTGTACTTCTTTCTGGACATAAGCACACACTTTCTGTGTGGCCTTCTCACACGTCCGGGAGTCAGCATCAGATCTGGGGGAAAATGACATGACTAAATACTACTTACACAAGTAAAAGAAATAAGCTTAGAGATGAAACAAGCATAGAAAGCGTCAGGTAGAAAGGTGTGTCCTACTGTCTAGGGTAGATAGGTGTGTCCTACTGTCTAGGGTAGATAGGTGTGTCCTACTGTCTAGGGTAGATAGGTGTGTCCTACGGTCTGGGGTAGATAGGTGTATCCTATTGTCTAGGATAGAAAGGTGTGTCCTACTGTCTAGTGTAGAAAGGTGTGTCCTACTGTCTAGAGTAGATAGGTGTGACCTACTGTCTGGGGTAGATAGGTGTGTCCTACTGTCAAGGGTAGATAGGTGTGTCCTACTGTCTGGGGTAGAAAGGTGTGTCCTACTGTCTAGGGTAGAAAGGTGTGTCCTACTGTCAAGGGTAGATAGGTGTGTCCTACTGTCTAGGGTAGAAAGGTGTGTCCTACTGTCTAGGGTAGAAAGGTGTGTCCTACTGTCAAGGGTAGAAAGGTGTGTCCTCCTGTCAAGGGTACAAAGGTGTGTCCTACTGTCTAGGATAGAAAGGTGTGTCCTACTGTCTAGGGTAGAAAGGTGTATCCTACTGTCAAGGGTAGAAAGGTGTGTCCTACTGTCTAGGGTAGATAGGTGTGTCCTACTGTCAAGGGTAGATAGGTGTGTCCTACTGTCTAGGGTAGAAAGGTGTGTCCTACTGTCTAGGGTAGAAAGGTGTGTCCTGTCTAGGGTAGAAAGGTGTGTCCTACTGTCTAGGGTAGAAAGGTGTATCCTATTGTCTAGGGTAGATAGGTGTGTCCTACTGTCTAGAGTAGATAGGTGTGTCCTACTGTCAAGGGTAGATAGGTGTGTCCTACTGTCTAGGGTAGAAAGGTGTGTCCTACTGTCTAGGGTAGAAAAGTGTGTCCTACTGTCAAGGGTAGATAGGTGTGTCCTACTGTCAAGGGTAGATAGGCGTGTCCTACTGTCAAGGGTAGAAAGGTGTGTCCTACTGTCTAGGGTAGAAAGGTGTGTCCTACTGTCAAGGGTAGATAGGTGTGTCCTACTGTCAAGGGTAGAAAGGTGTGTCCTCCTGTCAAGGGTACAAAGGTGTGTCCTACTGTCTAGGATAGAAAGGTGTGTCCTACTGTCTAGGGTAGAAAGGTGTGTCCTACTGTCTAGGGTAGAAAGGTGTGTCCTACTGTCTAGGGTAGAAAGGTGTGTCCTACTGTCTAGGGTAGAAAGGTGTGTCCACCTGTCAAGGGTACAAAGGTGTGTCCTACTGTCTAGGATAGAAAGGTGTGTCCTACTGTCTAGGGTAGAAAGGTGTGTCCACCTGTCAAGGGTAGATAGTGTGTCCTACTGTCTAGGGTAGATAGGTGTGTCCTACTGTCTAGGGTAGATAGGTGTGTCCTACTGTCAAGGGTAGAAAGGTGTGTCCTATTGTCTAGGGTAGAAAGGTGTGTCCTACTGTCAAGGGTAGATAGGTGTGTCCTACTGTCTAGGGTAGATAGGTGTGTCCTACTGTCTAGGGTAGAAAGGTGTATCCTATTGTCTAGGGTAGATAGGCGTGTCCTACTGTCTAGGGTAGAAAGGTGTGTCCTACTGTCAAGGGTAGAAAGGTGTGTCCTACTGTCAAGGGTAGGTAGGTGTGTCCTACTGTCAAGGGTAGAAAGGTGTGTCCTGTCTAGAGTAGATAGGTGTGTACTACTGTCTAGGGTAGAAAGGTGTATCCTACTGTCTAGGGTAGATAGGTGTGTCCTACTGTCAAGGGTAGAAAGGTGTATCCTATTGTCTAGGGTAGAAAGGTGTGTCCTACTGTCAAGGGTAGATAGGTGTGTCCTACTGTCTAGGGTAGAAAGGTGTGTCCTACTGTCAACGGTAGAAAGGTGTGTCCTACTGTCAAGGGTAGATAGGCGTGTCCTACTGTCAACGGTAGAAAGGTGTGTCCTACTGTCTAGGGTAGAAAGGTGTATCCTACTGTCAAGGGTAGAAAGGTGTGTCCTACTGTCTAGGGTAGAAAGGTGTGTCCTACTGTCTAGGGTAGAAAGGTGTATCCTACTGTCAAGGGTAGATAGGTGTGTACTACTGTCTAGGGTAGAAAGGTGTGTCCTACTGTCTAGGGTAGAAAGGTGTATCCTACTGTCAAGGGTAGAAAGGTGTGTCCTACTGTCTAGGGTAGATAGGTGTGTCCTACTGTCTAGGGTAGATAGGTGTGTCCTACTGTCAAGGGTAGATAGGTATGTCCTACTGTCTAGGGTAGATAGTGTGTCCTACTGTCTAGGGTAGATAGGTGTATCCTACTGTCAAGGGTAGAAAGGTGTGTCCTACTGTCTAGGGTAGATAGTGTGTCCTACTGTCTAGGGTAGATAGGTGTATCCTACTGTCAAGGGTAGAAAGGTGTGTCCTACTGTCTAGGGTAGATAGGTGTATCCTATTGTCTAGGGTAGAAAGGTGTGTCCTACTGTCAAGGGTAGATAGTGTGTCCTACTGTCTGGGGTAGAAAGGTGTTTCCTACTGTCTGGGGTAGAAAGGTGACAACAGGTAACAGGGGGGACTGAGCCACAAAATGAGGACACTTGACATCGGAGCAAGAAAGGATGTGAGCAAAGGACATGCTTACAATGAAGAATGTAAAAGCCCAATCGAATTAATCATGTCTGATGTGGCAAAGGTATTAATTGTAACACAAAGTTGCAATTGTATTACAATGTCTCTATTCAAATTCAGTACAAGTTAATAGTATTGCGTTTTGACAATGATTAGTTGACAGGAATGTAGTACTATCTAATGTAAGCAGTGGTGTGGAAGTTACTATATTCAGATACTTTTTGGAGTCAAGTGTAATCTGGAATCTAATTACATCAAGACCAGGGATGTGAGAAGATAATTATTCAAACCCTGGATATCCAGCTTTATGATGACGGTCGGTAAATAATCGAGTCTGGACCTGACAATCCAGTTATTGACATCATGAGCATCGATCCACGCAATTGGGATAAATGACATGCATCAACCAAGTCAGCGAGCCTGACCACACGATCCCGTACTGCTATTGTAATTCTACTGCCATTGAATATTGTACTGCCACTCTATTGTGTATTGCCACTGTAATAACTTTGCAGAAATTTGTATTGATATGTAAACCTAGTTCATTTTATAATAAAATTGTTAATTGTATACTATTTCTTTGTTGTTTGTGGGTTTCACACTGAATTCGGTTACGTACAGATTTTTTGGTTAACTTATTGTTTCATTTTTTATGGAAGTCGACACGTAACAAAGAAGATGTCATCCAAGATGAGGGCAATTGTTGTTTGAGCTATGTATTGACCTTGAGACTAATATGTCAGCAAGACAGTATGGCCAGAGACACAGGTTACAGAATCGATAACTGGTTAGAAATCAGTGATGGGTATTGGAGGCTTAAAGTGTATGACAATATTTTGCGACATACAAGGCTGTATCGTGATACGTATATTGATATATTGTATAATTCTAAATTTTGAATTCAGCAGCAATCTGATACATTAAGGTATGAATTGAAGTTCATAAAGGGAACAAAACAAGATGCTGGTGTTTACTCAGTCAACAGATACACAGCCATCTTGGGGCTCTGGATGCATGCTCCGGGTCAGCGAAGGCATTTGGCAAGTGTGTAACATTAAACACAGGATAAAAATCGCTATTTGAAAAAACTCAATAAATCGAGCATGAAAAAATGATATTGTGATACGCATCGTAGAAAGAATGAACCTCAATTTACCGATAGATACCACACACCCTGTTAAGAAATGGCGGGAATATTCCTTCCTACTGAGTGAGGACACCAGGACATCTACCTGAGTGCAGTACTCACGTCATCTCCCGCTCCACTGTGTGCAGACACTCCAGGACTATGTCCAGGTCCATGATGTCCGTCCCTCGCCGCGGCTGGTCACACGTGCTCCACACAGACACCGAGCGCCCTGTCACACAAACATCAGGAAGTCTGGGATGTGCAATAAGAAGTTGCTAGAAGACACTTAACACAGATCCATTCCAAAAATTGAGCTAACTGGGAATATTAGGAATAATTGGCATCTAAAATTAGTCGTTTTTAACAAAATTAAGTGATGGTGGTGGTGAAACAGTGTTTAATTGAGTAAGTATGGTGAGAAATAGGTTCACACATTGTACCCATGTCGGGAATCGAACCCGGGTCTTCGGCATGACGAGCAAACACTTTAACCAATAGGCTACCTGACCGTCCCAAAACAGTGTTTAACGTCGTGTTTAAGATTATTGCACTGCTATAGCGACAGGCATGCATGTGAATGTGAATGAAGCCAGAAATATATGATACTGCCAGCCCACAGAGTTACCCTGCCATAGTTTCAACATGGATACCCCAATCAGACAGTTTACTGCCTGACCAGTTCTTGTTTTATCCCCTTAATGCCAAGTGCCAGGCAGGCAAACAACAAGTACAATCTTTTAATGTCTTAAGTATGACTCAGCTGGGGAATAAGTACATAAGTAATGATTATTATCACGTCTGACCACATGGTTTTAATGAAAATAAAACCTCATTTGAATCATGATTTATTAACACAACTCCCGAAGATAGCGATCAAGGCGCGAAACGTGCTCAGTTACGCAGCAGTGAGAAAGTATAATTATACAAGTATATACCGCAAATAAGCAGATATATAAAGCAGGGAAAGGATAATCTTCCCGAGGCAAGGGAATTACTGACTGTAAAAGTCCAGTTTCTACCCTTGCCGAACTAGACTGGAACTTCAGGGCTCGATCATAGCGCCACCAGTGGCGATTACAAGTTATGTCCCTTCTATGTCCCTCCTATACAAAATTTATATTGTGATAAAATGGGTCTTCAAACTAGGTGAGCACCTTCCTTAGAACATGAACAGATTTGGGAAATATCTCTTGATGCCGAGTTGGCGGTACACATGCTTTGAAAATTCTACAATCAACCGAATCTGCACTAAAATACAATTCCAGCCTAGTTTGACAAGGGTGGAAACTGGACTTATATAGTTGATTAACTCACTAGCCTCAGGAGGATAGGAATAAATGAAGGTAACACTCCCTGAAAAAGTCCAAAACTGATGTAAGGTTAGTAAAAATGTCCAAGTTATCACGTCTGATATCAAGACAGACAGAAGAATATGAATCAGGGCACAGGCTATAGTCTGTTTCAACTGTCTCTCTCCAGTACTGTCTGTTTGTGAAAGGTAGGGAAGCTAAAGCACTATGTAGCGTCAGGTAAGGTAAAACATGTTCTGTTTGTTGTTTCATGCCACACAGTCAGCAATAATCCTGTAAGCCTGTAAACAAATAACAACCAAGCCAGACAAACCACTGGACGAGGCACGTAACGCACTGTCGCATTACGATGATGACTGTATCATGTATATCCCCCCGCATCACATTCTGGGGGATAAAAAGATGGCCATGTTATGCAATTTATGGGTTATTAAATATGGCTGCCATATAGTCAGATAAGAATTCTTAACGACAAAATAGCTCCCTTCTGACCTCTTGGCCTTTCCTCCTTGTCATCATTGTCCACTTTCCGTCTCCTTGCAGCCTTCTTCCTTCTTGCAGAGGTAGACTTGTGAGACACTTGAGAAGTTGATGGTTTTCTTTGCCTTACAGACTGAGCTTTTGTTTGAAGTTTCTTCTTGGCAGGGGATGGAGAGGTGGGTACAAGGCCCTGGGAGGGAAGAGGTCATTACAGTTTAAAGTTTGTAATATTTCGGCCGTATCAGGGCTGCCTGTAAATGTTCAAGTCTGGGCCAGGCAAACCAGTGACTGAGAATATGGACATTAACTACAATTCCAACATGAATTCAAAATCCTTTTGTTGTCCAAAAATAAATCTAGCCTAAGAAATGTATGTACATTTATCTTTCATGGATACAGGAAAAGGCAATCCATATTGAACAATGCAGCATCCTGATACCTTTCTATTTATTTGTATGTACCAAACTGTATATATTTTCTTGTATTTGTTATTCAGATGGACCTGTGGCCTACATACATTCATCATCCCGAGGCAAGGGAGTTAACTGACTATAAAAGTCCAGTTTCAAAAGGCTGGAATTTCTGGGCTCAATCGTAGCACCACCAGTGGCGATTACAAGTTATGTCCCTTCTATGTCCCTCCTATTGACCAATCAGATTCCACCTCTCATATCACTTGCATTTGCTTCAAACAAAATAGCTCCCAGGTTAGACGATCTGATCGATATACAAAATCTATATTGTGATAAAATGGGTCTTACTTCGCGAAGTTCATAAAATTAGGTGGGCACCTTCCTTAGAAACATGAAAAGATTTGGGAAATATCTTTTGACGCCGAGTTGGCGGTACACATGCTTTGAAAATTCTACAATCGACTGAATCTGCACAGAAGTTTACGAAAAGGATGTCCATTTCGTTACAGGATTTGAATTGGACTGCATAGACTTGTTACTCCAGCCAAAACATAGCTCCATAATTCCAGCCTAGTTCGGCAAGGGAGGAAACTGGACTTTGATAGTCACTTAACTCCCTCGTCTCCTGAAGATGACATACATTCAAAATAAACACATTCAAGTTGCCTTATGCATTCTGTAAAAGTGTTAACATTTACAGATTTTGAAGTGCTGCGGATTTAACAGGCTACCAAGATTCCTGAATTATGAATATAATCAATCTAAACATGCTAAATTAATATTCTTCTGGGCTGCATGAATATCTAAAATAAATATTAACTGGACTAATCTTTCTGAAGCCTTTAACCAGGAAACAGACAATACTAGGAAAGCCAACAACACAGGACATTGGTAATATTACAAACAAATATAATAAGTATCCAAAGTTTGAATGTCTTACCGGCGTGTCTTCCTCCCTTGATCGTGTAGTCTGCACGAGTTTACGAGATGTTATTCCCTGTTTGGTCACTGCTGATATCTTCTTTCCTTTCCACAGACTCCCAGTCAACACTGCAGCATGTCTGGCACCTCGGGGCGTGACCTCGGCCTCCTCCATCTCCAGCTGCAGCGACGTGTTCACAGACGATGCATCAAAGTCACTATCATTAGTAACCTCACCACCTTCACCGCCTGAGCTGGCTATTGGAATACCTGGCAATGTCCTACTGACATCTATGTCTATGGACCTCAGCCTCTGTCCCTCTTCCTCCTCCTCTCCCTCCTGTCCAGCAGGAGACTGGGACTTTGATCTGTCATATCTTTCCCGGCTTGTAGGTTCCATATTATCTTCTTCCTCTACATCTTCCGGTAGATCAGCAGATGGAGACAGAGATTTGGATCGGCTATACTTTTCGCCGCGTTTAGACTTCAAGTTGACTTCTTCCTCCAATTCCTCAGGCAGATCAGCAGATGGTGACAGAGATTTGGATCTCCTATACTTTTTCCTGCCTCTAGATTTCAATTTGTCCTCTTTCTTATCGGACTCAGCATCTTTAGACACTCGGGAGTGTGATCCTCTACTTGACACTGCTTCTTCCAATGTGGGCATGCTTTCCATCAATCTTGCTGATCTTGCTTGGCTAAATTTCTTTTGTCTATATGATTCATCCACTTCCGACTCTTGACTAATTTCAGAACTTGAATCTTTTTGTGCTTTGAGCTTCTTAGGTGACGGTTTTCGATGCAATGTATTTCCGTGTGGTTTCACTCTGCCCGATCCCGAATCTGATGTTGATGACTCTATGTCTGGTGATAGAGTATGGGCTCTTGCACTTCTCCTGGGCTTATGTTGATCCGATTCTGTTGTTTCTGGTTGTGCTGCAGATTCAGATTTGGGGCTTTTCTTCCTTTGTTTGGCTGATTTAGGTTTGGAGACATCAAGTGCAGGTCTTTTCTTGGCCACTGGGGATGCAGCTCTGGACATATCGGACTCCAGCGAACTGCTATCCCTTTCTGTCCGTGCTGGATTCTTCCTATTTCTCACAGATGCTGATTTTATCAGTGGACTTAGTTTACTTACTTTCACTACCTGCTCCTTTTCAACATCTTTGCGTAGAGTTGTCGGATCATCCAGGGGCTGGAAACTTGCTTCAGAATCCATTGTATCTTCGGAACCAGGAACATCATCTTCTGCATACACAGGTAACACTGTTTTCAGTTTTCCCTTAGGCTTGGGTGCACTTGTTTTCTCTGTTGCTTTTGACTGCAGTTGGCTTTTCTCCCTCGGTATTTTGTCCACATGTGTACTTGACGTTATCCTGTCTTCATCTTCAGATGCTGATGCATTATCATCTTTATCCCGGGCAGTCTGTTTAGATGTCTTGGACTTTTCTTGAAAGGCTGAATCTCTATCTGTCTTGGTCTCTCTACTTCCTTTTCCATTGCTTGAAGACAAGTATTTTTCAACTTCAACTCTGTCAAGCCGAATTGAGAATTCCTTTGTTGGTGAACTTTGGATTTGGGTTCTCTTCCCATTTTTTGTAGATGACTCTGTAGGTCTGTTTTCCGGTAATATCTCTGATGACAGAGATTCAGATTTGTCTTGCTCGTTACAGTTGACATCGGAGCTTGCTGGATCAGCAGTTTCCTCCTCAGAGGATGAGGCAGTAATGTCTGGCATCTGTTCAGAGACTGCAACATCACAGTGCACATCACTGACAGCAAGAGGACTTGTTGGTTCTACCACCTGTTCCAATACTTCTTCCGACCCTTGCTCTTCAGTTTTTCCAACATCTGTCCAATTCTTCACAGTCCACCGATCATCTTGATTTAATCTGTCATCTGTCTCCACATCCATCAACCCTGGTTCAATACAGGTTTCAGGACTTGTAGCTTCTTCAGGACATTCCTGGCTAGATTCTTCTCCAGTCTCCTCAATTGTCTGGGGCTCCAAAATGGGGGCATCTTGGATGCAAGGCATTTCAGTTTCATCATCATAAACCAGGAGCTCCTCGGTACAGACTACCACAGGTGCTTCTTCTTCTGGTTCTGTCTCCTCTGTGGGCACATCATGGTTCTGCTCTTCTTGGGTGGTTCCGGGTTGTGTCTCCTGGATCAGGGGTGGTTCTGCCTCTTCGACAGTTGCCCCAGGTTCTGCTATGCTGACTTCCTGTAGTCCTTCCTGGCTTGGTGTTGTCTCTGAGGACGGACAAGGACGGATGGGGGCATCAGCTGGTTCGGAACCTGCTGTAAACTCAAGCTCCCCACCATCTGGACTGGAGGATTCATGGAGTTCAGGCTGTATTGTATCATCTGCATCAGCTGTGCTAGGGTTTGACTGTAAAAGAAGGATAGACAATGAAGATAGGAACCATTCACCAGTCTTGTCATATTGACAGCTAATAAATGCCCCTATGATAACACTAAAATCTACAGAAAATTATGCTAATAGACAAGTTCGGGCTAGTGGATGCAAAAGGTTTGGGCACAGACTGGTATTTAAAGCACTACTGACCTAGTTCGAGATGCATGCACTGCTAAATATAACCATTCACCTGACTGCGATTCCTTATCCAGATTGTAACCATGTGATCAAAACTCTGTGATGATGTTTATTGTCAGTAAAAGGGATATTTCTTGTAAACCATAGTTTGCAATTTTTGTCATTAATGTAAGTAATATTCTTTATAACCAATGGCTTGTTTTCACTTTTAAAGTATTACCATGCTTGCAGCTATTTTCATTAATTAATAATCGTGAAATATTTCGTGAATATATTTCAAGTGGCGGGGACTATAGATTCAAGACCCTAGGCCCACCTTTACGTCTAAACACTAATGAATAGCAATGTCCAGGGATGTGAGCAGGTTTTCCCGAAAAAAGAGGAAAAGTCTAGGGGGGTCTGGGGGCATGCCCCCCCAGAAATTTTTTAAACATTTGATTGCATTTTAAGCAATTTCGTGCAGTTTGGACAACATTCACATCAAGAAATGTATTAAGTCATGGGCAAAAGTCAAATAAACAAGATGGCAGATGCAGTAAAATTTCGAAGTTAAATCAGTACTTTTAAAAAATCGGGCATAGCTTTCGCACACCTGGCTACCCGCCAGGTCTGGGAGCAATACTGCCATAAACTTCAACCCCCATCCCCCAGACACATGGACAACTGTCACAAGCGTGCAATGTCTGACCCCTTTCCCCATGTTGAAGCATATTGAAAAAACTTACCTTGTACTTACCTTTTGATGAAAAAAACCAAAACTCAATTGCAAACATAAGACATTAATACAACATATATCCCCATGTTATTGGGTTTTGGACGCTGAAGAAACATTCATAGTTTTCTCGCTAATCACATCAACAACTGTAAAACATCTCATTCACTTACAGGCTAAAACTAGTAAAAGACAACTTTATCTGAAACACAAGCCATCAGCTGACTCTGAGTATTTACAATTTCTGTGTGACGCCACACCCCACGTTATAGTGCAAGTATTCGTGATGGAAAACGTATGATGTCCGAAAACCTATGCTGGTGAAAGCTCTGATCGAAAACAGGTCAATCCGCGACGGTTGTCCGATTTTCGATCATATTTTTCGGAGTGTTTTTTTTAAAATTTTTGATTAAATTTTTACGCGGAAGATGATTTTTTTCCGAGGACTACTATTTTAAAAAACGCGATTTTCCGCGTTTCCGCGGAGATTTCACATCCCTGAATGTCTTATGGAGCAAGCAGGCATTGCATCAATGTATCAGGAGCTTATCAGAAGGATTGAGTGAGTTGGGTTTAACGCCGCTTATAACAGTATTTCAGTTACATCATGGCATGTCAGCCCGAATTGAGGCAGGCCTCAGATAAGAAAATTACAATTGTATGGATAACAACTTCTGGTTTATTGCATATAACCAAGTTTTCTCAGACATTTACCACTGGGTATGATATATGGTGCTGACAAACCTAATTAGCGAACCTGGGATTCGAACCCACAATCATAGGTTCCTGGCATGCCAAAAGGATGCAACTCTGCACAGCTAATTGCACTGCCTCAGATGACTGCCCCTAGGTATTTAACCTCAAAGCAAAGCAAAGTGCTATTTTCTTGCACTAAAAATAGACAACTTGACACCCTGATGATCAGAGACAAACTGACTTTGTTTGAAATTTTTACTTTATTGATTATCACAGATTTTTTTTTCAACAGCAAAGATTTATTAGGTATCTTATTTACTGGTCCACAGGGACTGACAGTCACATAAATTACCGGTCCACGCCTAATTTTACGAGTAAAATACTGGTTGTTACCGGGAAATGGGAACACTGAATGTGTGACAGTTTATTTTTCAAGAAATTTGATCCTGAGAAGGTATCAATCTACAAAAAACAGAAGAACTTTTTTATCAACTAAGATGTAAGAGGTGTGCATAAAAAGAATTCTGTCGGGCAAGGGGCTTACAAGAATCTTTAGCCCGACCAAAATGTTGCTTGCTACAGGCTAGCAGTTATTTTGCACACTTGACACATAGAATATACACGATATTATCGGAATCTACTGACGCTGTTACCTCATCAACATCTCCCAGATTTGGTGTCAACCACGTCTTGACTATCTGAAAAGGTCTTTTAACAGTTTCTCTTTTGCTGAAACAAACATGATAACAATGAAGTCATTATAATTGCACATAGGGTGTAACAACTGATCAAACTCTCACTGCAATGCAGTTCTCCATCCTGTCCCTATGGCAACATACTTTTGACAAGATTAAATATCATTCTACCATGAATTTTGAACATTGAAACAGCTGATTTGATGGCAGCCTTATCACGGAAGCTAATATTCATAGAAAATCCAAAACAACTTCTTTCTCAATCATTGTCAGTAGACAATGCAAAACGTGTGGAAATCTGGGATGAGAACACATGATCAGCATGGCCAACCTTTAGAATTCAGGACCACAAAAGTTTACAAACACGTCACAACACACTATGATGTAACGTGTGAAAATTGTTGCTAATACACCAGTGAAACAATGCTCTGTGATTTTATAGCAAGCGCTAGTTTATGAAAGCACTTTTATTTTTAATATATTTTATATTCCGTTTCAACTTAATTCATGGGGATTATAAATGGGATCTAATATACATATATTATTTTTTGTACTCATAAGTGTCTGTAGACAAAAGTCATGAGACACCATGCCTACCCGTAACGTTTCAAGTGTCCATCACCCATTCGACCCTTTCCGTTCAGTTCTGCAACATCTTAGGCATGACTACGTAAGTTTGCACTAAGTTTAACAATGTGGACGTAGCTCAGTCGTTACCTGTCGGGCTAACAATCCAAAGGTCGTGAGTTTGTATCCAACGGATTCTCACAAAATTAACCGGGTTGCTTGCCATAGTGACATGTGACCTACGACAGAGATCATCCACACAAGAAGTTGTGGTGCTATATTCTAAAGGTGCTCCATGGATCCTTGTGTGGCTAAGAGATGCAAATGTAAATATTCTTTTGATAAGTGAGTCACTTGTCTTGCATCCAGTTATGTCCATTTACCATACGCCAACGTTAATGGATGTTGCCTATGATATGATGTCAGATATTATCTCAACGTTTGACAGAAGACAGTGTTGAAACGAATTAACATAGTGAAAGGGATCGTTCATAAAACATAATGATTATTCATAGCGGTCCGATAAGATAATTTTACCCGGAGTAGATGGGCACCTTAGTTAGAACAACAGAGGTTGTTACGATCGGCCATCACTAATTGCTGAAACCTTTACATCTCCGGGAGCTTCGTGTCATTGCGGGTAAATTTGTTTCTTTCATACAAATAATCACAATAATATCACGTACTCTGTCTCGACAACACCCCACAGCTAGGTATATCGGATGTCAGTGGGCGGTATGATAATTAAACTTTACACTGAACACACAAAACAATAATTGGTGTACAAAGTGTCTTTGTATCATGTAAATAGCTTACGCATATCGACGTGGAAACTGAAATCTGTCCGACATCGTTATCCACTTCCGGATTTTGAGTTCGCGCGGCGGTAGTCGAGGGGAGGTAACTCAAAACTCTCAAATGATCACTCGAAATGAAGGAAGACATGGATTCAAGGTTCGAATCTCAAAATATATTTTGATTAATAATACAGGGCAACAAATAAGTAGTGTTGACTAAAGACTCTTCGATGACACGAATGTTATTAGTTCAATCAGACTGAACATGTTTTCATTTCTTAACAGTTTTTTTTATTTAACATGGTAATGGTAACGCACATTCAGATTTGATGGGTAGGATAAAACGATACCGTATTCGACGTAATAAGCGCACAGGGCGATCTCAAAATTAGAAATAGGGGGCTCTTATTAGAATGTTATTTTGGTGGAAAAAACAGAGTTGAAAGATAAATTTCGTGATTTATGCTGACAGCCTGAAATGTTTATGTACGACAGATATATTTTTCCAGAATTAAATGCCCATAAAAAAGGGTGCGTAAAACACACGATATATATACGCGAAAAATAAGTCTTGTGTACATTGATCACTCGGAAGGGGTGCTGATTGGGATTGTTCAATATCCAATATCTTAGCAAATGTCGCCGTGGGCGCTTATTAGAGCGGGGCGCTTATTACGTCGAATACGGTACTTAGTGTTTTCTGAGATTGAAAACCCGAACCCGATGGTGAAGTGGTTTATCTAACCTATAAACAACTGTAAAACGAAAAAATTGAAACAGTAATGAACAGTTTTATCTTTCAAATACACTTTCCATAAACCTTATGACAAGGGCGTATAATATCTCTTGCTTGTGTATAAACATACTTAAGAAAGGAGATTTCTTATTTAAAAGCACTGTGATTCCGTCTAAAGATGCGAAGGTACGATCCAACGAAATATTAACAAAATGTCATTTGATTTTGCATCATTGTGTTCAAATGCACAAAAAATCTCCAGCGAGCGATATCACCAGAACTTTCACACACACACACACACACACGCACACACGCACGCACGCGCGCGCGCGTGTGCATGCACGTGTCAATATAATTACAATTATCTTGAACGTGACGTGACGCTTAACCCCATTTCACCCCACCTCAACTTGAGCAGTACACGTTTGCACATGAAATACTCAATAACAGCTGTAAATCTGAAACGCTTTTCATCAACATTGTAAAATAGTTGGAAAGATTATAACAAACATTTAAAAGAATTCTTATCGTTGTCTTACACATGTATAATGATATGTGTACATATGAAATACACTTATAATTATGAAAATATTTCTTAAAATATTCCTAACTGTAAATTAATACACTGAACACGCTGGTGTTAGTCGAGCACAGCGATCAAAGGGAGACAAACACCGTCACGGTGTCAGGCAGGGAACGTTGGTCAAGTTCCCGTGTAGCGCGATATGAGCACTTTTCTACAGTACGCTAAGCGTGAGGCAGGTTACCCTCATAGAGAAGTATGGTTCATGATAATATTACAACAATGTAACTAATACTTTGACAAGATTAATTATGAAAAAAAATATTAATAACTTTACCACTGTAGATATACAAAACATTTTTTTATGCCATTCCGTCCAGCCATTGTGTCACTGCCGTAATTGTTCTTTCAATTCTAGACGATGCAACACATGTTGCTAATAAATTGTGTGCCAACAAAAGTGTTTTTATGCCATTCCATTCAGTTAAAATGTTAAACATTTATCGTATATACCACTATGATTGTGTCAACTTAATACCTCTTGTTCCTTGAAAACAATCACAAATGTGTCAGGAAGTTGGCTGGTTTGTTGTTTAATGCCGCACTCAGCAATATTGCAGCTATATGACGGCGGTCTGTAAATAATCGAGTCTGGACCAGACAATCCAGTGATTAATATTATGAGCATCGATCCCCGCAATTGCATGGGATCGATGACATGCCTCAACCAAGTCAGCGAGCCAGACCACCCGATCCCGTTCGTCGCCTCTAACGACAAGCATAGTTGCCTTTTACGACAAGCATGGTTGCTGAAGACCTATTCTACCCCGGATCTTCACGGGTCTCAGGAAGTAATTGTTGTGAAAACATATTACGAGTTTTGTTTTCATGATATGTTTGTTTTCTACTTTTATATTTCATAAATATTTAAACTCAAAATGTCATGTTCTCATTCCTGATTCTGAAGGCACCACATGCCAATTATAATTTGTTTTACCTTCTGCGTTACATACGCGCGCTTTATGATAGTACAGGTTACTTGCTTTAATAGGTAGGTATGCCACAAAAATTCTTCGTGCCCTGTTGATCCTCTGAAAAAAAGTTATGTTGTTAATACAGATTTCTCAGTTCGCTATACACGTCACTAATTCGTGGTAGGTGGGCTTGTCTGGGATCAGATATCAGTTCGCTATATATACGTTAGTTCGCTGTAGAGAGTTCGTTATGTACGTACATTTTATATGAGTGAGTGAGTGAGTATGGTTTTACGCCGCTTTTAGCAATATTCCAGCAATATCACGGCGGGGGACACCAGAAATGGGCTTCACACATTGTACCCATGTCGGGAATCGAACCCGGGTCTTCGGCGTGACGAGCGAACGCTTTAACCACTAGGCTACCCGACCGCCCCTACATTTTATATGATAACATAAAGGGTAGAAATCGGGGATTTCGTTGTATCCGTTTGTTCACTCTATCCGCGTTCGTCTGTAGTTATAAAGAGGAAAATGCTCTTATTCTCAGTTGCTTAGTTTTACAATATTTAACTGAATGCACTGTTAAAACAGCTCAGAATTTATGAAATTAAGAGCTTTATTAAAACGTTCTAAGTTAGAACGAAATAGGGGGCACGGGTGGCCCAGTCGTCTAAGGCGCCGCGATTCTCTGTGCAGAGTTGTGTCCCTTGTGGGTTCAAATACCGGTTCGCCCCGATTATTTTTCTAGGTTTAGCAGCACCATACCCGTGCTCGTGGGTTTCATCGAAGTGGTAAACGTCTGAGACCGGCATCACTTCGGGCTTTCCTCCCACATTAAGCTGACACGGCGCGATATAACTGGAATACTGTTAAAAGCGGCGTTAAATCCAACTCACTCACTCACTATAACAAAATAATGTGTGCTTTCCCAATTGGCCTGCCATGTCAATGCGTTTAGAATCCTAGATAAATCCCCGATGTTCTGATAAATATTGATTAAATGTAACATATAAAGAATGTTATATGCATTCAGCTGCAGCGAGGCGAGTCACGCTGCTTCGTTGTTGAGAACAATATACGCCATCATCCATTGTTCATGACATCAGAAATTGATTGCATACTGTCATCTGAACATAAGGCTGACTTCAGTGAAATTTGTAGGAAGATGATGTACGTCTCTCCGTGGTGGGCCTAGACATGGACGATTTAATCCCCTGAACCAAACCTACACCACACAGTTAGCGCTAACCTCGAGGAACCATGGGTAGAGGATTACAATGATATTGTACACGACAGACTAAGCTAGGTCAGATTGTTGTGTTTCATAACACATGACTGCCTAAAAATGTAACTAAAAAGTCCAAAAGTCCAGGGCCTGATAGTATTCGAAACCGGTATTGGAAACTGTTCCCTTGTGTTCAAACACCAGTCCTTCACTGTTTAAATTCTCTTGTTGATACAGGGGATGTTTCGCCTTGGTCGCGTAAAGGTCGAAGAATATTTCTCCCAAAGAAAGGTGATTTGACTGATCCCAAAAACTTCCGCCCTATTATTTGGTTGTTGTTTAACGCCGCACTCAGCAATGTTCCAGCTACTAGTATATGACGGCGGTCTGTAAATAATCGAGTATGGACCAGACAGTCCAGTGATTAATATCATGAGCATCGATCCGCGCAATTGGGATCGATGACATGCATCAACCAAGTCAGCGAGCCAGACCACCCGATCCCGTTAGTCGCCTTTTACGACAAGCATAGTCACCTTTTACGGCAAGCATGGGTTGCTGAAGACCTATTCTACGCCGGAATCTTCACAGGTCCCCGCCCTATCACTTCTCTGAATACGTTAATACAAAATATTTACAGGGTGTCTTACAGATCTTGTGTCATCGTACTGCGCTTCAAATGATATTACTTTCATTGAGCAGAAAGGAGCCAGAAAGGGATGTTGGGGTGGCAAGGATCAACTGCTGGTTCCAAAAATGATTCTTGTAGAGGTTAAAACTTTTAGTCCTTTGCTTTTATGTTTGTCACTAAATCCTTTTTTGCTTAGCAAAGAGGAAGGTTATATTCCTGGGTGCCGTTGTACAAATCGATCTTAGCGCTGAGGTGATCGTAACTCCTATACCTTAACATAGACTTACGACAGTCGTAGCGCTAAGGTTGTTTTGTACGACACCCTGGACCCCCTCAACACAGATCACCAACACCTCTTACTCACCTCCTTTACATGGATGACCCTGAACTTCTTGCCAAAGGAGAATCCACACTGAAAAAACATAGTCTCCTTGTCGAGTTCTTTTCTGGTGCTATTAGCATGTCCTTTGGGCTCGCAAATGCAACATTCTTCATCTGAAACGTGGGAAGGAAGAAGAGAAAGGTAGGTCAGTTTACCTGGGGGGAGTTATTGACAATCTTGTGGGAGATTATAGGCCTATACGTACTTAGAGATGCAGGTAAGAGATTCAAGATTGCCCATATCTTAGACAAACTTTGGACGATACAAGATATTCATCGTATTGTCACACAAAGAATCATGTCAGACAATAAATCCCACCACCCTCGCTCTTCCCTCAATCGCTTTTATGTACCAGTTGTAATGGGACGGTGTGATTTGATTAACGTTGAGGCTCTCCATGATAGAACTGTATTGTGCACTTTTGCACACATCTATTTGTCTGATGATCCTCGTGCGAAGCATGTCAGGACTCATGATGAAAATAAGACATTCCCGAGTGTTCTTAAATGAGCCAAGGATGTAGGACATAATCTCAATGTCAGTGTTGATTTTGTTGATTTGTTCTGTACTGGTGGACGGTACAGAAATGAGTGTCAACACGCGAAGTGCCATATAA